TCTTAGCTTTTTGTTTAGCCCAGTTGTGCTGACTTCTCCTGTAGTGTGTGCTGTCCTTCCCTTCACCTAAGATAATTCTTACCTACTATCTAGTTAGCAAATAATCCTTACCCTCCCTCCCTACCCTCATAACCATCAAAGAACGTTTTCTTCTGCATTTAAACCTTTTCTTGAGTTCTTATAATAGTGGTAAGACACATATATATATTTTAAACCCCGGAAACCTATTGCCATCAAGCCAATGCCGAGTCATAGCAATGCTATAGGGCAGAGTAGAACTGCCCCACAGGGTTCCCAAGGCTGTAATCTTTATGGAAGCAGACTGCCACATCTTTCTCCTATGGAGTAGCTGGTAGGTTTCAACAGCCCACCTTTCGGTGAGCCGCTGAACGCTTAACCACTGCACCATCAGGGCTCCTCTATATATTTTTTACCATAATAAAATTAAAAATAAAAAAAGGGAGCTATTATAATAAAGGCCCTATCAGCTAAGCCTGGCTAACAATGACTATGAGTTTCCAGTAGTGTGGTATGCTGGACACTGGACATCTTTCCGTTCTAAAAGGATAGAGTCAGTGAAATGAGAGCACTTTGATCCTGAGGCTATGGAAGTGCACGTCCTCTTACAGAACCATTATGGTGACCAGCCTGCAGAGCCAATAGCAGCAGGCACCAGACAGGAAGCTGTTGGTATGCTCTTTCTTCCACAGTTAGCTGTCTACCATCCCTGGGTACTCAGATACCAAACCATGAAAACTAAGGGGGAAAAGAGGCAAATGGTCCCTTTAGTCAGCCTCCGACCATTGGTTCCTTCTGTCTCTTCAGAGGCCTAAAAGAGCTCTGTTGTAGCACCATTACTACCTTTTCTGTGGGTGCAGAGTCTCCACAATAGCCACAAGCACACACCAGTGTAGTATCAGAGAAATGTTGGCCTGGCTTTGACCTAGGTGTCTGAGTATGTCCATACTTGGATGAGCAATGCCATCTGAAGGTGTTGGCAATGTGAATTGGGTTACTTTGGTCAAAAAGGCTAAGGCCACGCCTCTCTGTAGTTGGTCAAAAATGGACATGGGGGTTTGCAAAGTGTGCTATCAAAGTTAGGAGAGCTGTAATAGAATTCTGCACAAGGGATGAAGTTGCCAGTGATGCTTCTAGGACAAAAGGGGGCTCAGAGAGGCTGGAGGTAGATTCCTTTGTCTCAACTCACCTGGAGATTGTAAACAGCTGTTGTTTCCCTGTCCAGGGCTTTGGTAAGATACAGAAATCCATCTGGTTGTATCTTAAAGATTCCATCTGTCTCCCCAGTTAATTTGAAATCCACAGCAGAAGGACTGGACTTAAACTGAGAAAAACCAAAAAAAAAACAGATTAGGATATAAGGAAAAACAAAGTCGTGGAATTTGTAGAAAGCCACCCATTTCAGGTAAAGTTTTGATTTGGACAATCTATAAGTAAGAAATCCTCAGCTTTTAAAGTGATACATTCCTCAGCTTTTAAAGTGATACATATTATGGATAACATTACGAAGAACAGGAATTCCAGAACACTTAATTGTTTTCATGAGGAACTTGTATATAGACCAAGAGGCAGTCGTTCCAACAGAACAAGGGGATACCGCATGGTTTAATACCAGGAAAGGTGTGCCTCAGGGTTGTATCCTTTCACCCTACTTATTCAGAATGGATTACACCTCAACATAAAGAAAACAAAAATCCTCACAACTGGATCAATAAGCTACATCATGATAAACAGAGAATATATTTAAGTTGTCAAGGATTTCATTTTACTTGGAGCCATAATCAACGCCCATGGAGACAGCAGTCAAGAAATCAAATGACATATTGCACTGGGAAAATCTGCTGCAAAAGACCTCTTTAAAGTGCTGAAAAGCAAAGATGTCACCGCAGGGACGGATTACCCAATAAACAAGGTAAGCATGACCTTACTTGTGTTTGCTTACTGATCTGTAATGAACAGTTTCACATGGTGATGTGGTAAAAAAAAAAAAAAACGTGAAACTGTTCACTACAGATTAGCAAGTAAGCACAAGTAAGGCCATGCTTTGCTTGTTTACTTGGTAATCCATCCCTCTCAGGGATTATAAATTTGAAAAGAGGCTTTGATTCTGTAGGAAGGTGCTGTGGGTTTGGGAGAGAAACAGCTGCCAGCCATACCTAGAAGCAGAATCTTTGATGAGTTGAAAAATGTGAAATTGTTCACTACAGATTAGTAAGTAAGCACAAGTAAGCCTGTATTTACCTTGCTTTTGGGGTAATCTGCCCTTTTGTCACCTTGAGGACTAAGGTGTGCCTGACCCAAGCCATGGTATTTTCAATTGTCTCATACGCATGTGAAAGCTGGACAATGAATAAGAAAGACTGAAGAAGAATTGATGTATTTGAATTATGGTGCTGGCGAAGAATATTGAATACACCATGGACTGCCAGAAGAATGAACAAATCTGTTTTGGAAGATGTACAGCCAGAACGCTCCTTAGAAGCAAGGATGGTGAGACTTTGTTTCATGGACTTTGGACATGTTATCAGGAAGGACCAGACCCTGGAGAAGGACATCATGCTTGGTAAAGTAGAGGGTCAGTGAAAAAAAGGAGGACCATTAACGAGATGAATTGACACAGTGGCTGCAACAATGGGCTCAAACATAGCAAAGTTTGTGAGGATGGTGCAGGACCAGCCAGTGTTTCATTCTGTTGTGCATAGGGTCCCTATGAGTCAGAACTAACTTGATGGCACATAAAAACAACAACAAACATTATAAGGGTAGATTTATTGCTAGGATTAAAAAAAAAAATGTCATTTAGCACTTCTAAAAAGTGTGACAAGATTAAGAGACATTTTAATGTTAAGAAAAACAATTTAAAAGTGGCTTCAACTTGATAAGACACTATATGATAATCTCTTAATTATTTTTTCAAAAGTAAAGAAAATAAGAGCCACTATTCATGGGACAGTTACAGTATTTTTAAGACCACAGGAATAGACTATTGACACAAAAGCAGACATAAAAATTCTTTAATCTCATTAATAATAAAAAGAGAAAATTAAAACAGCAGAATCTTACCATTTTACTTTTTTTTAATTAACCATTTAAAACACAATTACAGCCAATGTTGGTAAGGATGTAAGGAAATACATAAATTTTGATGGAAATGTAAATTAACACAATACTTTTAGAAATAACTTGAGACATAAAATGTCTGTAGCCATTGATAACAAACATTATTGCACAGAATTTACCCTAAAGAAATATTTTTTAAACAATAAACTATATGCTTGAAGTATAAACAGTATTATTTATAGTACTGGCAAAGCTGAAAATTCCTAGATGGTCAAAAAATGAGGAGGGTGAAATCATTAAGGCACATAAACTTGGTAGAATATTAATCAGGTTAATCATTAAAATATTTTTCTATAAATTATGAAGTAACATAAGAAACAATGATATGATGTACAGTGGAGAGGTGAAGCCTACAGGTACCAAGCTCTCTGCCCAGAGGACAATCAAGGAAATCCTGCATAAGGACGCCAGGTCCAACTCGTACAATACCGAGGCCATCCATCTCTCTGTTTAACTTAGCTTCTGCAATCATCCTTGTTAGTGAGATATGCCATGCCTCTATTTTATTTCCTGCTCTACAGTTAGACAAGGTAGTAAAGTCCACTGAGAAAGCATGAGGAATTACGTCAACAGTGTTCAATGGTAGCCATTACCTGGAAGAGAAGTTGGCTCAGTTCTTGGCCTTCATAAACAGAAAATGTCATGGGCTTCAGGGGGCCACTAAACTTCCCATCTTGGCCATATCCAGTTATCTGTTAAAAAGAAAGAGAAAACTAGTATCACCATTTGTTATGAATGTATGTGTGTCTTGCTGACTGTATTAGGGCTTTCAGAACTGATATGTGAAACATAGGATTCTATTCCAGCTCAAAACAAGGTGGAGTCTAGCCCAAATAGGCCGAATGGATCTAATGTTTGTTGAGACTCTACCATTTCAAGGTGATTTGTTCTGTGCTTTGCACTGCTTTTCTCCTTTAACCACCTGAGCAATCTCCCTGTGGGAGAGTATTAACATCCCCATGTTACAAATGAGACTTAGGTTAAACTAGTTGCCCAGAGTGAAATACATTAAGTGGTCGATGTGGCACATGTACTCAGGTCCGACTGAGTGGAAGCTCGCACTCTTCCCACAAGGCCATTCTGCTTTCTAACTTCTACCTGGTTTTACACCAGTTTTTTAAAATGTCTCCCGCCACTCCTACTGTTTTATAAGGAGATTAAAAGCGGGTTCCCAGTGCTCTGGAGTTCATGGTCTCTTCAAGGACAATTACATTTATAGGGGAAAAAAGTATATGGAGATGTGCTAAGTACACTGCTTGGCACGTAGGTACAGGGTAAAATTTTAGTCAAAACAATATGAATTTAAATGGAAACATGAAGAAAAGCATATTATTTTATCGTTTGATTTGCAATTTATACTCGTTTAGGAAAAAGAAAAGCACAAGGTGTTTACTTCAAGCGGTAGTCCCACAAATGTTCTAAAATCCAAACACACTAAACCTGAAAGCCAAGCAGCTTCTGCAGATACCCAAACCCAGGCTGGAATAGTAGTAGGTTCTGCTGGGACAGTAACTAGAACAGCTCACACTTGCTAAGTTTCTATGTGCTGAGCTAGGTTCTAAGCACAATTAATCCTCACAACAGGTTCTAAGTGAATTGTATCCTCACAACAACCCTACAGAGGTAAGTTACTATTATTATCCTGTTTTATGGTGATGAAGGTTAAGTAATTTGCCAGGTAGTATCTGGAAGCAGGATTTGAAATTCTGATGGCAGAACCTGCCCTCTCAGCCACTGTGCACCACTATGCACCAGAGACAACCTGGTGGGAAAGCTGACCCAAATCCCGCTCACCAGGTATGTGCGTGAGGGTATGAGTCCCACCATCCCCATCCCCTACCACGGAGAATGAGGAGGATTTAAACGCAGCCCCTGACATCACCATCATCACTGACCATGACTGCACCACTAAAGGGAAACGCAAGGCGGAACAGAGGAGAGAGCCCATAGAAAGCAACCAAACAGGTTGCTAAAAAGTTGATTCTGACTCATGGTTACTCCATGTGTGTCAGAGGAGAACTGTGCCCCACAGGATTTTCAGTGGCTGATCTTTCAGAAGTAGATCACCAGGCCTTTCTTAAGAGAAGCCTATGGATATACTTGAACCTCTAACCTTTCGGTTAGCCCCCAAGCTTGTTAACCATTTACACCACCCAAGGACTCCACAGGAAGTAGCAGCCAACCATAAACCCACGTAGAGAAGACCTCTAAGACGAGGAATAAGGAATTTAGTGCCCTGTAAACCTAACAACAACAACAACGCAACACTTATCTCCCCTCCTTCCTGAGTGGCTCTTCCAGTCTCCTATTTGGGGTGGAAATTAGGGGTGGGATAGGTTAAAATCAGAAGCATGATATGGCAAGTCCATGGTTTTCTGGAGTTGCACAAGTAAAACCAAGAGAATTGGAAGAAGTGGGCAGGGGAAGAGAATTTGTTTTCCACTTCTTTAGGAAGAGCAAATACCCTCTTACCAGGAAATTACTGCCTGCTGGGGATAACCTAAAGACAATCAGTGTGAGAGTGATAGGGAAAGAAGTCTTACACTACATCCCTCGGTTGACTGAATCTTGACTAAGCTGATACTGATTGTCTAATAAAAGAACAAAAACAAAGGAAGACAAAGGGGATACGCTAGACGTAACTTTCATACAGACCTGGTGGCACAGTCCTTATGTTCTTGACTGCTAACTGAAAGGTCAGCAGTGAGAACCCACCAGATGCTCAGAGGGAGAAATATGTGACAGTCTGCTTCCGTAAAGATTACAGTCTTGGAAACCCTATGGGCTAGTTCTCCTCAGTCCTATACGGTCATTATAAGTTGGAATTGACTCGCCGGCAACAGGTTGTCACACTATCAAACCTCATTTACTAAGATATTCAAGCGAAAAAGAAGATGCATTCTATATGGTCAACCCTTTAGCTATAAAAGTGTCTGGTTCACAATGGTTTGAAGGACAAGATCCCATGGCCCAAGAAACACGAGAGAGAAAATGGCCCTGTGAGGTAGTGGAGAAAATGCTGCTGCAGGAAGCAGGCCTCAGGGCCCCTCTCTGCCACTCCCAAGCTACGTAAACTTGGTCAAGTCACCTGCCTCTCTGTCCTAATGGTCTAATCTGTAAAATGAAGAGGTAGCTGATCTCTAAACTGGGTTCAACTCTAAATTTCCATAATTCCATGCAGCAGATACTACCTGAAGCAAACACAGCAGGTAACGAACGACCTGAGGTGTTGAGCCTATTTGTGAATTATATATCACATCTCTCCGTATGGGTTAAATAAAAAAGATTTCCCTCTATACTTTGAGCCAGTACTGGGGAAAAGTGCCCTATCTGCTCTTCTTTAATTGGGATTTATTGGAGAACGCTCATGGTTACAAAAAGCCAAACACCCAAGAACCTTGGACAATCTACCAGTCAGCAAGCTATTTGAAAACTTTCTCCATTCACTCCCACGCTTTCCCCAAGATTGTTTTAAAATCACAGGACAAATCTACCTTTATAAAGTGGTTTTCAAATCCATTTTTGAAATTTTATAAACTCAAAAGGCTAATGTATGATTTTTTAAAAATGTTTTCAGTGGTTTATGCTTTGTAAACATAAATGGGAATGAGGACTTTTACTGAGGGGAGAGCGAATGGAGGACACAGACAGGAGTGGAGCCTGCCTGGTCACCCCTACCCTCATGTTCACTTACTGATTGCCACAGAGAGGAAGAGGTGGTTATGTAAAGTCTATTGCTCTTTCATTAATAAAAACCCATTAGCGAGATAAAAAGTTAGAGGATTTTTATGAACCTTAGAATTAAATACAGCTTCATTAAAACCAGTTCCAACCTAATGGAGGATAACCATTATTTCAGTCTAGTCTAGAGTGCTTTTGAAATAAAAGCTTGAGGTTTTCTCCCCCTATTTTTTTCTTTCTCCATCATGCAAAATGATTTTTGTTTCTCTTCAAAATTAGGAGCCGACTGTTTGAATGCAAAACTCCGTCACTAGAAAAAGCAAGGCAACTTCTGCTGGACGTGTTTGCAGCATATGCTTCTAAATGACATACAAACAGTCCTTTCTAGGTCCCTGCCCGTGCAAGCCTATGTTCTCTGACACTGGCACAAAGGAACAGGTCACAGGAGAGCACAGGATTTGCTAAGGTTTTGGGTGCTTACTATGTGCCCTGCAGGCACTATGCTTATGCTTTGCATCTGTTAATGCATTTAGTCCTCTCAAGAACTCTCTGAAATAAATGCTAGTGGAGGCGTAGAGAAGGTAACAAACACAAGCAAAGCATCACAGCTGTTAAGTGGTGTAGCCTGGGTCCCAGGGTGATCACGCAAACCTTGCTCAACACAGGTGCCTCTCAGAGCAGAAACGCAGGGCCTGAACTCTCTAGTAGAGTTCCAGGGTTTATACAGTATTATAGCTAATGCCTTTTTTTTTTTTTAAGTTGTTGAAAATATTCATAGCACAACATACACCAATTCAACAATTCTACATGTACAATTGAGTACATTCTACATGTACGTTGATTACATTCTTTAAGTTGTGCTACCATTCTCATCCTCCTTTTCCAAGTTGTTCCTCCCCCATTAACAAAACTCACTACCCCCTAAGCTTCCTACCTAACCTTTCAAGTTGCTGTTGTCAGTTTGATCTCATATAGACAGTTCTTTAAAAGAGGACAGTGCTCAAGGCAGACATTCTTTACTAATTAAGCTAAACTATTGTTGGATTTAAAGAAGACTTCAGGGAATATTTTTTGTTTACAGTTTAAAGATTATCTCAGGGCCATAGTTTTGTGGGTTCGTCCAGCCTCAGTGGCTCCAGGAAGTCTGGATTCCATGAGAATTTGCAACTCTGTTTCACATTTTAACTCTTTTGATTAGGGTGTCTTTTTGTTAATCTAAAATATTTGGGGCTCTATTTAGATTTTATGCCTGTGGTCATCACCTCTTGAGATAATTTCATACTAGCACCAGCTGCATTAAACCCTCAGTGGTGTCTCACTGTGCTCAGTCCAACACCCAACTCCTCAGTGTAAGCCTCCCTCCCAGGCGCTCATGGCCTTCCTTTCAGTTCCTCAACCCTGCCAAGATATTCCCTGCCTCTGGGACTTTGCACTTGCTGTTCCCGCTCCTTGGAATGCCCTTCCTCCCACTCTTCAGATGCCTTTTCATTCTCAGGTCTCAGCTCACATGTCGCCTCATCAGAAAGTTATTCCCTGATCCCGTTATCTAAATATTTCATCCTTCTGAGCCTTACTAGTTTCTTTCATAGCATTAATTGCAATCTGTGTTTGTTTACCTGATTTTTGTCATTATCTCCCACTATGTTTATTGTTGTTGTTTCAACTCATAGTGACCCCATGTGACAGAGTAGAACTGTTCCATAGGGTTTTCTAGAGCGTAATCTTTATGGGAACAGATCACCATCTTTCTCCCATGGAGCCTGTGGGTGGATTTGAACCGTCAACCTTTTAATTAGCAGTGGAGCACTTAACCGTTGAGCCATCAAGGCTCTTCTATGTAATTAGGATCTAATTTTTCTTGTTTATCAGTTTATGAACAATATCTGGAACATCATAATCTGTTGCCATCGAGTTGATTCCAACTCATAGCGACCTTATAGGACAGAGTAGAACTGCCCCACAGGGTTTCCAAGGAGCAGCTGGTGAATTCAACCTGTGGAACTTTTGGTTAGCAGCCAAGCTCTTTAACTACTGCACCACCAGGGCTCCTGGAACATCATAGTCACCCAACAAGTATTTTTGGGATAAAAGAAGGTATGATTAAAAGTATTTCTTTTTATTATATTATTCTCCATGTTATTCATACATTATTGAGTTCAAAAATTATATATACTATTACTTCATTTTTGTACATATATTTACATATTCTCTGGGATGATATTCAACATATTTAGTGGATACCCAACTATTAAGAATGAACATCAGCTTTAAACCCAGCATCCAAAAAAAATCTGTTGCCATCAAGTCAATTCCAATGCATAGCAACCCTACAGAACAGAGTAGAACTGTCCCATAGGGTTTCCAAGGAGTAGCTGGTGAATTCGAACTGCTGACCTTTTGGTCAACAGCCACTAACCAAACCCCTGCATATATATTCACATATAGTAAAACCTTAAGGTTGTACAACAAGTCATTAATGTTGGTTTTCTCACGTGATGGAATCACAGGAAATGTAAAGTTTCCCCTTATTTGTAGAATTTCTACAATGATAGTATATCACTTGGGTAATTAATAATGCATATTTTAAGTAAATTTAAAATGCAACCTCTATAAAATTTTAAAAGATTCCCCAAGTTTAAGGACTTTGAAATTTGGTCTTCCATCCCTCAAAGTTGTGGCAAGCCCTGTGGATCAGCTGTCCCTTTTCCCTTACTGCCTTCCACTACGTAGGCTGGGGAGCCAAGTGACCTCTTTCCCAGACTGCCTTGCTGCTAAGAATGTGGCCAAGTGACCCAGTTCTAGTTGGTAAGAAAAAGGGGAAGTAAGCTAGAGGGCTCTGGTCTAGTTTTTTTTTTCCTGATGAAAAAAGACAGACGTGGCTGGAACCTTCCTTCCCTCTTCTCCATTCTCTTTGCTCTGACAATGAACTTTGTGCCTCCAGCTGTGGCAGCCATCAGGAAACCATACAGGGACAAACCAGCTCAAAAGACTGTGGAACAAAGAGATAGAAGCTGGTGTCTCTGATAATATCACGGAGCTGCTAAACCTGCCGTGGCTTTTTGCTATCCAAGAAAAATAAACCCCTATTTAAGACCCTCTAAGTCAGACTTTCTATTGCTCATAACTAAAGGCATTCTTGGAGTTCTGGTGGTGTAGTGGTTAAGTGTTCAGCTGCTAACAAAAGGTTGGCAGTTCAAATCGACCAGCTGCTCCTTGGAAACCCTATGGGGCAGTTTACTCTGTCCTATAGGGTCACTATGAGTTGGAATCGACTCGATGGCAATGGGTTTTTTTGTTTGTTTGTTTGTTTGTTTAAAGGCATTCTTAACTGACAAAATACTTTTATAGACTTCTACCCATCTCTTCATTTCCAAGTTTATCTTGCTTTGCCACCTCTTCCTCCTTCCCACATCTTTCCCACGTCTTCTCCAGCTCCATTAACTCTTCTGGAAGGCATGGCACAAGAACTGGGTGCAGACGGCCAGGTGCAACTGGGGTTGGCTCAAAAGGAGGGTAGTGCTTTCATGGGGTTACTGCTTAACAGCGAACGGTCTTGGTCAACCTTCTGTTTGTATCAGCAAACTTCAGCCTTTCCATTTGTCACACCAGAAGAAAACTACAGTAGTTTCAGCCCAGCCTCATAAACAAGCTTACCAATTTCCTACATGGGCAAACTGGCTGACCTATCAGGAAAGGATGATGACTGGAGGATTGTGGTCTTAGTTGCAGAGTTCAAAGTTGAGTTCTCATATCAGGGCAACACATCTCTTCCTGCCCATTAGCATGGCTGTTGGAGCTATAAAGATTTCAAAATGCGTGCGCATGCTGTGAGTCACCAAGCCATAGTGCCAGAGCTGGGAAGAATGGTGTGGTAGAAACTTGGGAAAGGACAAGATGGTGGGTTTATACAGGAATTGGATAGAATAACACCCACCATCTTGCATATAGAGGTGAAAGAAAGGGAAGAGAATGGAACTGACATTTGCGAGTGTCTCCTCTGTGGCAGCTACTAGAGGGACTAGACCCTGTACACATCATGTCGTCTGATCCTCACAGCAATACTAGCAGGAAAATATCTCCTGGGAAACCCTACAGCAGAGGAAAAACACTCACAGGTAGTGCTACAGTGACACTGGAACCCAATTCTGTTTGCCACCAAGCCCCAACTGTTTTTTTCTTTAATTGTACTTTAGGTGAAGATTTACAGAGCAAACTGTTTTCTCATTAAACAATTAATACACATATTGTTTTGTGACATTGGTTGCCAGCCCCATGACATGTCAACACTTTCCCCTTCTCAACCTTGGGTTCCCCATTACCAGGTGTCCTGCCCCCTCCTGCCTTCTCGTCCTTGCCCCTGGGCTGGTGGGTCCATTTAGTCTTGTTTTGTTCTATAGGCCTATCTAATCTCTGCCAAGCCCCAACTGTTGAGCACATTGCTACACTGCCTTTCCTGCCAGCAAAGGATGTGTACAATTGCCAGGTCTGCCTGTCAGGTAGCAGCCCTCATTGTACTATCCAGCAAGAGTTCTCCACATGGATTATGTGATATTTATGCTGAACTCTTCGCCCTTCTGGTTTTCGTGTCATCTCAGGCAAAACTCTAAAGTAGGTGATTTCTCCTTGATTTCCCCTGCCTCCCTGTTTAGCACTCTTTCATATCCCTTGGATTTCTCACTCTCTGTTTCTCTTCAGTGCCCAAGCAATATATTCATGCTGTTTTTCCCTTCCCCTATGAGAACCAGCTCTCAGAAAAGAACAGGAAATCCACTCACAGTATGGAATAAATGACAGGCAATCATTTTAAATTACTGCTTCTACTGAATAAAACCTTGTGCTGACGGCAAGAAGCTCCACCTTAACTTCCAGTCCACATAGAAGAGGGTTTGGGAGTAGAGGGAGCTGGAGACAGGAGAGGTAAGTGGTTCTAACTCAATACGCTTTCAGTCCTAAAGCACGGGTAGCCACCTCCCTGCCTTCACCAGAAGCAGCTTTGCTTGTGGCCCATCTCATGGGCAAGGTGCTTGCTGCAAGCAGTGGTTTGAGCGATATTTTTTATTCTTGGTAGAAACCCCACTGGGGGTGATAGAAGAGAGAAGGAAAACTTATTTTCAGCTTTCATCCAGGAAGAAAACTGTATGTCACCTCCTCAGACAGGAAGCAAATGAGCCTACAAATATCAAAATATTGTGATAGAATCTCTCTTTTAGACGTAATTGTTGTTTCCTAATATGCATAACGCAAGTGCACAATCATGTATTTTTTGTCTACCCCACTCCTGGTACCATCCTAGGTACTGAGGCTGCAAAGATGGTTAAAATGTAGTCCCTTCCTCATGGAGGTCAGGGTCTATATGGGCATAGACACTGAATACTTTAGATGCTGTAGTAACAATAATAGCCACCATTTATTAAATCTTTAGATTGTGCATGTCACTCATCCAAGGGCTTTATAAATGCATTACCTCATTTAATTGCTACAATAATCCATAAGGCAAATACTATTATCAGTGCCATTTCACAAGATAGAAAACGGAGCTTCAAAGTTTAAGTAACTCACTCAAGTTCCTATCACTGGTAAATGACAATGCCAAGTTTGAAACCAGGTCTGACTTCATCACCACCGTTTGATAATGTAGATAGCAAAGGACATCTGAGAGGGCAGGAAGAGGAAAGTAGGCAAGTGGGGATGTTTGACCCAGGACTTCCACAGTCCTGGGGACAAGCCTTGAGTGCCCAGTCTGTGAGAACACACACTGTTCACAAAGTTTGAACTGCAGTTTTTCATCCCAGGAGGAAGGTTCTCGTGGTCTACAAGGTTGATTCTACTTTACTCGGGAAATATTTCGAACCGAGTGGGCTCCAGGGAGCTCTCTGGTACTTGAAATTTGGTGTTGTTCTTTTTAGGTCCCAGAAGAAAGGACCCAAGATGAGGTGTTAGGGTCTGGTAGCTTCCTTCTAAGGAGAAAGCAAATGCTTCCCCACAAATTTGCTTCATACTACTACTTTTTTTTTTTTGCAAGTCTATAACCTTTATGGGCCTCAGGAGCCTCTTAAGTAAAACAGGGATGGCACTCCACTACCTCCCCAAGGTTGAGGGCTGGATCTCTCCAGATCCCTTCCAGTCCAAGCTCTAGAAGCCTGTCAGTTGATAGGACTGACTCAACAAATGTCTAAAGACAAATTTACCAGAAAAGTCCAAACCAAGAAAAGCAAATCACATACAGGGGAAAAAGTACAGAGCAGAGCAGGGTTGAAAATAGAGAAAATGCTTTTCTTAATGCTTCCGTAGTAATTTTTCACAGTCAAAGTAAAAAAATATATAAAGATTAAGGAACATAGACAAATACAAGTGTCAGTATACTTTTCTTTCCAGGTTCCCTGAGTTCTATGTGAAGGTCTAAACCTAAACAAGTAGATTTGTTTTGAACCTTGTCCATTAAGTGGTGTTGGCTTTTAAGAACTGAGGAGAAAGAACCTCCACTGGTTGAAGGACAGAGTTATGAATGTAATTTGTAACCATTCATCTAAAACATCACATGAGGGCAAACTACGTGACCTTCCTGTACACCGATTTAATTTTGATAACCATTGTTTCCATGATATGGGGTAGAAAGACGGCAGAAAACATTCAGTAAATGCAGACAAATACCCTGTCATCTTACCAAATAAAGTGTCAGGAGAAACAGGGAGTGAAGATGGGCTTGAATCATCATGTGTTTCTTTATCCAGAGTCCTGTGAATAAATCAGAGATAAAAACGACTAGTTACCAGTATGTTACAATCATGCCTTCCCAACCAAGAAGGCTCATTGTACGATTTCCAGTTATAAACCTAGTAGAACGGGATCCCAAAAGGACAGCCTCTCCTCTGCATGGAACAGCCCAGGCTATCAGAAGCTTCAAGATTCCTCATCCACAGCAACTCGCAAGTCAACATCCTGAAACAACAAGCACTCAGTAATTCCATTTCTTTAAACGCTTCACCTTATTATAATCCTTTTTATTTAAGGGTCTTAAATGATAGACAATAAGTGTAAATTTATGGATGGGAAAGAGATATTTTGTTACATTCAAGGATTAAAAAACAAAACCAAACCAGTTACCATTGAGTCAATTCCAACTCATGGTCACCTCATATGTGTCAGAGTAGGTGGTGAAGTGGTTAAGAGCTCAGCTGCTAATCAAACGGTCAGTAGTTTGAATCTACCAGGTGCTCCTTGGTAACCCTATGGGGCAGTTCTACTCTGTCCTATAGGGTCACTAGGAGTCAGAATCAACTCAACAGCAAGGGGTTTGGTTTAATTTTTCCAAAGTACATTGCCAGGCCTTTCTTCTGAGGCACCTCTGGGTAGATTCAAACCGCCAACCTTTCAGTTAGTAGCCAAACACTTAACCATTTGTGCCACTACGCCTCCGCCCTGCAAAAAAAAATTATTTTAACTAGGTACTAAAATTTGGGTGGTTCTGATTTACCAACTGCAAATATATGGATTTTCTTAAGAGGAAAGAACCCAAGAATTTTCACAATCCTTCATTCAAACACCTTATCAGCTGCCTTGTTAGTCTTCTAAACATTGCTGTCACCTACGCAATGCAGATAAGGAAAAAGTGCACTTCTTATTATTCTAAAAGGAACTAAACAGAACCCCAGCCTTGCGCTTGTTCTCTTCTGGTCACTATTTTTTTTTCCTTTCCTCCTGGTAGCTTCACATTTCATAGAAATTATAACTTTCACCCTGAGATACATCATGACTAAGGGATTTTAAGATTTGAGGTAAATTTTCTGCATTGCCTGCAGGGTTGCTGCTTATCATAATAATGGACCACAAAAAAAAAGAAAAAGGAAAAAAAAAGGCAAAGGAATGAAAAGTGCATTTATTTCACCAAAATTCCAATCACAGTATTATCTCTAGGGATTATAGATGAGCTTGGTTTGGTTCATGTTTTTCTTTATGTTTTAGGTTTTTCTACATTAAAATATATCACTAATATAATCAGCACAGAAAGATTATTATTATTAATTCTAACCACTCTAAAAACTTGTTGTTAGGTGCCATCAGGTCAGTTCCTACTCATAGTGACCCTATGTACAACAGAAAAAACACTGCCTGGTCCTGCGCCATCCTTAAAATTGTTGCTATGTTTGAGCCCATTGTTGCAGCCACTGTGTCAGTCCATCTCATTGAGGGTCTTCCTCTTTTTTGCTGACCCTCTACTTACTAATCATGATGTCCTTCTCCAGGGACTGGTCCCTCCTGATAACATGTCCGAAGTGTGTAAGATGAAGTCTCATCATCCTCGCTTCTAAGGAGCATTCTGGCTGTACTTTCTCTAAGACATATGTGTTCGTTCTTTTGGCAGTCCAGGGTATGTTCAATATTCTTTGCCAACATCATCATTCAAATGCATCAATTCTTCTTTGGTTTTCCCTCTTGATTGTCCAGCTTTCACATGCATATGAATGAGGACTCTAAAAACTTAGACTCTGAAAACTGTAAATGCCTTGCATTTGGATAGCTTGTATTTGAACTTTAAAAAGGCAATATTGCTTTCCTATTTTAATTAACCTCACAAATGCCCTGGTAGATAAAGAAAGAGCATTTATTAAGTACCATTTATGTGCCAGATTTGTGGAGGGGCCTTTAAAGGGAGAGTAACAGAATGGTGCGGAGCCTGGGCTGAAATCCAAGCTCCACTTTTTACTAGCTGTGTGGCCAGCCACAGACTCAATGTCTCTGTGCCTCAGTTTCCTCAAATGGAAAATACATAACAATTGCCCACTAGTAAATGTGTGCTCTTATTTTCTCACAAACATAATGAGTTAGGAATTACTACTTCCATTTTATAGATGAGGAAATTGAGGTTTAAAGTTAAACAATTTGCCTAAAGATCACAGCTAGGAAGTGATATCACCATGATTCCAAAAAAGTGCAGAGCAAAGCAGGGTTGAAAATAGAGAAAATGCTTTTCTTAATGCTTCAGTAGTAATTTTTCACAGTCAAAGTAAAAAAAAAAAACTAGATTAAGGAACATAGACTAATACAAGGGTCAGTATACTTTTCTTTCCAGGTTCCCTGGGCTCTATGTGAAGGTCTAAACCTAAACAAGTAGATTTGTTTTGAACCTTGTCCATTAAGTGGTGTTGGCTTTTAAGAGCTGAGGAGAAAGAAACTCCACTGGTTGAAGGACAGAGTTATGAATGTAATTTGTAACCATTCATCTAAAACATCACGTGAGGGCAAACTAGTGACCTTCCTGCACACCGATTTAATTTTGATAACCATTGTTTCCATGGTATGGGGTAGAAAGATGATAGAAAATATTCAGTAAATGCAGGTGATCCACTACCAACCAATATTTGTTTAATAGAAGTAAAAATATAGACAGCAATGACACATTTGGGGATCTTTCTCCTCAAACTCCTCAGTAGTGAAGATCCCTAAAATGCTGGTGCCAACTTATTCTCCCAGCCTTATCTCCCACTTCCTTCCACACCCTCTAGTTCTGTCCAGATGGACTTTACACCCTGAACTTTTCTGTCTCCAAGTTTTTGCACTTGCTGATCTCCCCACCAGTGGTGTCACTAGGGTTAGTGTCACCCGATGTGATAACTCTTGGTGTCACCGCCCCCCATGGACCTCCTCCCGTACCAGACCATATAGAATCCTTAGTAATATTTTTTTGTACTAATGTTACTCATAAATTGTAATTCCTGTATATCACTCCTTCTTTTCCTTTAATTACTACTCCATTCTCAAAAAAGTTAGTGATATAACTTTACAAATATTAGTTACCACAATATCGTAGCTAAAACACCAGAAAATTTGACAAAATCAATGACTATAAAAACACCAGCAGCAATGAAAACAATAGCTCTTGTAGCGTGTGCAGATGACACCACATGACTCAAAGCGTCAGTGTAATCAGGTAATAATGACAGCTCTGACCAGCGTGCATTAGAAGGTTTGAAAAGCAAATTCACATAGCGTTTTAGCCTTGTAGGTAACTGAACGAACAAATCTGTCTTGGAAGAAGTACAGCCAGAATCCTCCTTAGAAGCGAGGATGGCAAAACTTCATCTCACATACTTTGGTCATGTTATCAGGAAGGACCAGTCCCTGGAGAACGACATCATGCTTGGTGAAGTAGAGGGTCAATGAAAGAGAGAAAGATCCTCAGTGACATGGATTGACACAGTAGCTACAATGATGGGCACAAGTACAGCAACAACTGTGAGGATGGTGCAGGACCAGTCAGTGTTTTGTTCTGTTGTACATGAGGTCACTATGAGTTGGAATAGACTGCACCACATTAACTAACAAAAAACGACAGGTATATTGACACATGTAAGCTTGTCTTATGAAAAATGTTTTTGTTGTTATAACTAACTAAAAGCCACAACCAAACCCACTGCCGTTGAGTCGATTCTGACTCCGAGCGATCCTGTAGGACAGAGTAGAACTGCCCCATAGGGTTACCAAGGAGCAGCTGGTGGATTCAAAGTGCCGACCTTTTGGTTAGCAGCCGAGCTCTTAACCTCTGCGCCACCAGGGCTCCATATAACTAACTACAGGGATATTTTTATAAAAAAATAATAAATTTCTGCTGAAACACTGCACAAATTTTTATACACAGTCATTTTGGTGTCACCCCCTCTGATAGTGTCATCCAGTGTGGTCTGCATCCTTGCACCCCTTAGTGATGCCACTGTTCCTCACCTGGCAAAAGACATGTCCTGGAGTAAATGGTCAATCAACGTGTGCTTAATTACGTTGGATTGAGATTGTCCTTCCTCACCTCAACTTCTCTGCTTATCTCTTACCATATTATTCATTTATTTAAAAAGCATTGAATTAAGTTTCTGTTATGTGCCAGATACTGTGCTAAGCACTCAGATACCGAAATGAAGGACAGAGTTCTGCCCTCGTGGAACTAGGATCTAAATCCTATTTCTTTCATAAAGTCTTCCCTGATTTCCAGTCAGAAGTGTCTCCCTCTTAAACCCCTCCTGCTCTCTATTGGTACTTCTAAGTGACACTGTTCTGCTCAACATTTTATTTTTTATCATTTATTTACCTGTCTGTGGTACCATTTCTACTGGAAAATAAAATTCTTGAGGCAGAGACCTTATTTTAATTTTTTTAATTTTTTAATCTCCCACAGCTCTTTACACTGTGCCTTGCATATAATAAGCCCTCGATAGATGTTTGTTAAATTCTAAAACCTTTGTGAAGGAGCCCTGGTGGTGCAAATGGCTAAGCACTGGGCTACTAACTGAAAGGCTGGCAGTTTGAACCCACCCAGTGACTCTGCAGGAGAAAGAGCCTACGGGGCACTTCTACCCTGTCACAAGGTAGTTGCTATGAGTTGGAATCTGCTCGACAGCACTCCCCCCACCACCCACACACGAATTTACAATTGTCTAACGTTGACTGGAGTCCCCGGGGCGTTGTAAACTGTTAATAATGATGCTTGGGGGAAATCATAGTTTACAACTGAAATTGCCTAAAGCCACCAAGCCATGCCAATGTGGGAGATTTCCTTACAAACACTACTTGAAAAAGAATTGGGGTAGATTTCCAGATAATTCTATGACATTTTATCTGAACTACCTGAAATAGTTGATCCAAACAAGCATCTGCTTGGAACTGCTGCTATTTGTCAGGGATTCCCTCAGGTAAACCCAAAACCAAACCAGATGCTGACGAGTCAATTCCAACTCATAGCAACTAGA